ACATATTCCAGCCGGCTCCCTCCCGCTCTATAGCCCTCCACAAACCCCTCACTCGTTACTCGCTTGCCCTGTCCTTTGGCGTGGCTCGTCCTGCGCTCATCCTGCGGCAGCAATAAATCGCTAACAGCAAATAAATCAACGCGCATAAATTCCAATGTTCAGCGACGAGCCTGACCCGACTTTATTTACGACATTGCGACAAAGACACTTACGGCAAAATGTTGGTCGCACTGGATAAAAATTGTGCAAAATGGGGAAAACAAACAAAAAAAAAAAAAACATTACATGCAACGGCCTGAGGTCATATGCCAGAGAAATTCCAATTTGTTCGCATGCATTTCTATTAGATGTGCCAACTATTAAATATTGTAAGTACCTTAAATATTTCATTTTAAAAACTTAAATGTTTGAATTTCTAACTATTTCTTGCACTTTTTTCCCAGGCAATACTATAAATTTAATACAAAAACATTAAAACCAATTCTTTTTAGTATATAGGTAATTTGTTTTGGCTCCCGCTAATAACTTTTACGATTCTCGGTTTTTTTAAACTACAATGTTTAAAATTTGCTCATAGTTATTTTAGTTTTCATCTAGGGAAATATTGATATTTTGTTTAAATAGATGTCATATTTTTAACAATCATCACCAAATAGGCAATAAGATTTAGTTAGGTATGAATAAAAATAGATAAAATATATGCATATATAATGGCTGTCGCACTATAATGGGAACGAAAATTCCCATTCAGAGCTGTAAGCCAATGAACACGAAAAAGGTTGACCTCAGTGTCGTGGCAATATGTCGGCACTCATATAGTCCGGCAGGGAGAGGGAAAAATGTCAGATACGTTGTCCGTGGTTAACCAAAAGCAGTTGCCAAGGGTTAAACGGGTTAACCCCATGCAAAAATGGCTGTAAAAACAAAATATGAGAAGAAAAAAACAGGCGAAGACTCTGCGGAAGAAGATGAGGTAGGCGCCGCTGTCGGGCGACGAGTATATTTGGCACATTAAAACAAAAGGATGCCGTGTTCTAGGCAAATAGACAAAGGGATTCAAACACACACACAGACACATATGCAAGTCGCCAAATCAAGCTTTGATTTATGAGCAGCCAAAGGATGGCACCGAAGCCAAGAGAAAATGAAAACGAATATAAAAAAAACTCAGAAAACTAACAAGGCGCACATATTAACACCCTTGTAAAACTGTAAAACCGCCGTGAAAAGTCTGGAGAATCCGGAAGGAGAGAGAGAGAGAGAGAGTCAACAAATCAAAGTAGATCCTGAACCCGTTCCCTAGCCGGCAACTATTAGTTGCGCCACTCGGCGTCGCATATACACCCAGGCATGGTGATAATTTATTTATTTGGGATTATTTATTGCACATACATCATAATTTTGTGCCTCTGACGGCAACGCCCAAGGTTTGAAGGGGGGGGGATGTGGAAAATATTTTATTACGATTTCTTGTAGGTAAGAGAAGATGTATTCCTTTTCTCTGTTTCTTTTTTTTTTTTTTTTTTTGCCATATCCCAGCGATAAGCGGCCGGCTCAAGGATATGGCGAGCACAGCCGAAGAAGAAATATAACTTTTAACAATGAAGGATGAGCCATAAATTAAAAATTCCAAACTTCAAAAACGTAACAATAAATACACGATACAACAGCAACGGGACATGCAGTTGATTTATTTCTGCCTTGGAAAATCACAGAGCCCAAAGCCAGCCAAGTCTGTCGCAATACCCAACTACCATCGATGTCAAGGTGCCGCTTATGGAGACGGAAGTATTTATTTCATAAATCGTTATGAAGTAATGAAGAAAATGCCGAGGCTGATGTAAGTTTCGGCCAACCGACAGTTAAGATCACGCACAGCTCTAAAGATACAACAAACGAACAGCGAAACTTCGACTTTTTTTGGTGTCTATGTGTATGTATTTTCTAGCTGAAGCAAAGAAGAGTTTAATAAATGTATTATTAACCTATTATTAACATACCTAAGGAATAATTATCAACTTTTGAAATTTTTTAAAAATATATAAAAACCAATTCCATATTGTTTTTCAGTAAGAAATAAAAATAATTAATATTTTTCCAAAATAAAGTAAAATGTTAGTTTAAAAGTTTTTAGTCAAATATATAGCCAACATTTAAAGAAGTAAAAAATAAATTGATATATTTTGATACAAATTTTAAAATGTTGAAACTTAGTTCAACTTTTCAACTCACAACGAAACTCAAACATAAATGATATTGGAAAGACGCAAAAAAAAAAATATGTGCTAAGGAATAAAAGCCGAAAACACATAAAAAAAAAATACGTGGCGCATATTAAATTCTTATAAAAATCAGCGCGCAGGATACGCGGCGGTAATGCGCGATTCGAGGATATGTGGTAGGGGCGACGATAGGACGCTATTGTTATAGGTACTTTTATGATGCCATTGTCTCCCTCTATCCCTCTACAGCTACGGCTTCGACTGGCGCTCATGCTGTTTGCAGCAATATTAAAAACTTGTTGCTAATATAAAATATACGGACACGGCTGCCAAAGCAGTTGATCATGACGATGATGATGACATCAATGACATTTGCTGCGGTTCAATAAATTCGCAAGCGTTTGGCAAAAAAATATCTATATTCCGTACACTTAGAGAAAAGCCAAGGGAGCACGATGTTCGTATTCCGCTAAGACCGTAATTTCTACTTAAGCATTTTTGAAACTTTAAAAAACTTAAGAAAATCTTTTTCTACCATCCAGATTTTCTCTATTTATTTGTAAATCCATCTGAGTTCCTGCTAGAATATTAGATAGTCTTCCTTATTTTTTTTGAGTGTATCCATGTAGCATGTTTATAGCGCCTAAGTAGGCTGAGCCTCACTGCGCATTTAATTGTTATATGGATGGCTGCATGGCAATTGTCAGCACAGATCTCTTCACGTTCAGGCCATTGACAACACCGCTGGGACTCGGATTGGGATTGGTTTCCACTGGGTTTGGGTACGGTTTAGCCTCTTCTTCGCTGCCGGCTCTGGGCCAGGGGTGTTGTTTAGCGGCCGGATAATCCGTTGCATGTTGCCGTTGCGCCGTTTTTGATTAAAATGACATGACAAACACACAAGCGCGCGCACACACACACACACACACACACACACACACACACACACACATAGCTTTCGGAGGGGGTGTTGGTTGGGAACTATGTTGATTTGAATTGTCTATAAGCTGCTCCGCGTTTGCCCATCGACTGCAGTATTTGAAGTGCCAAAAAGCGCACTTTGCCCATTGCTGTTGCCCTTTTCTTTGCTTTTTTTGTTTTATTTGTTTTTTTTTTTTTTTCAGTGTTGTCGAGTGCGCGTTTTAGTGAAAGGATTTATGCCCGTTGCTGCTGGTGCTGCTGCTATTTGTTTAGCCGCTTAGTTTAGCATTTGCCCATTGTTTTAGGCCAAATAAATTGTGGCTCGATTTGAGCACGTTTGAACTTTTTGTTTAAGCCAGTTTGTTGTTTTTGTTGTTTTTTTTTTCCGTTTGCTTTGCTGACAACAAAGTTAGCCGTCGCGATTTGCTTGGGTTCATTTCTAGATTTATGAAATTGTGCTTGATATAAGCTAGAAGCGATTGTCATGGGAAAACGAAGGGAGAAAAATTTAAAAGAAAACTTACCAAAAGATGCTTCTACCATATCTTTGATTTATAGAACTTCGTCAGTCAATTAAAATCGTCTGCCTATAAGAGAAGGATATACAAATGGATATTGTATCGAGCTTTTTTCAAATATTCCTACATCATTTAACTTTAAAGTCTTGCGGCGTTACTTTTGGCAAATAGCACTTGTCATTTGTCGTTATCAAATAGAATTGTGTTGATAATTTACTGTTAATAAAACCCAGCAGGATTCGTTAAATGTGAACCTTTCTTAAGGCTTTCCCATTTAGCTTAAAGTCTGGCAACGCTGACATGCGCCTAATTACGGTTCTCATTCGAAACACAAAACATGCTTTAAATATGCAGATTAAGCGAACGCATGAATTATGCTTACAAGCATAAATATATATGTATATATAAGTGCATACACATACATACATGCATGCACACATACATATGTATGTATAAATGCACGTCTTGCGACTGCCTGTTGCGTAAGATGTTTCTTGTGGAGAGCTATCAACGTATGTATGTAAATATGCATGTAAGTACATACATACGTACATATGTGTACATACCTTTTACATTAAACAGCGACAATATCTTTCAGATTTTCCCTTTTAAATATTCACACACAATATTTTAACTTATTTTTTCTTAGCCACTAAACAAATCCACTTAACAATCGACCGCACTTAATTACGTCACGTCACACACACACACTCACAGCCATATAAAAGCGTGTACAGGCTTGTTTGCGTTATTTTGCCATTCACACAAAATGCCGCAATTTTCGGCCATTCACGTTTAATTTCATGGCAAATGGCAAAACGATAAGAAAATTAATATTAATGTCAATATTTCTTCAAATAAAACCAAATTAACTGACTTTGATATTAAAGAATTTAAATCGTTTTATTTATTTACTCAAATACTAAATGTTCCTAAATATTTTATTTTAATAGTAATCACAGTCTGTCAAGTTCCTTCTGTTTACGGTCTCCAAAAGCCAGTTAATCGAGTCTTTGCCAGTTTACAGACAACTCATTAAATCAATACCTTAATTGCTTTTATCTTGTCTGCCCCAGGAAATTATACTTTATGTAAGGTCTGGAGTGTGGCAGCTCTTTTAACATTTTCTAGAGCTCTTCGTATAAGAAGACTACGGCAATCTTTAGTTTTCTAAAGATTCTATAAGCTTGACATTATTTCATTGATAATATCCCATTCATAATCACGAAATGCCTTTTTCTTTTGACTTTCCAACTTCGCACACTTTGGACCACATTTTCGAACGCTCCTTTTATATTAAGGAGTGGAAGTTTCTTCTGAATGGAGGAAATTATAGAAATTGTCAGATATATGAATATAATTCAGTTTCCAATCGATCAGTTCTTTGCTGATAAGATTATTTTGCTTAGAATTAGACAAGAATAAAGAATATCAGATATAATAACCTCTTCAATATTCACTAATATTATGTGCAAATCTAAATCAATTTATCTCAACGTGAACATATATATGCAAGATATAAGACTATAAACTACTTATTATAAGGAATAATATCTGTATTAAACTATTTTTTAAATTCTACATAAACATATAAATTCCACATTCATTTATAAGAAGATTCAACAACTCATTCAATTGAGTTTTTACACCGATTATTTGATTCCTCGTCTTTAGAGAAATCTCTTTCATCTTATAAGTATATTTTCGAATGCCGAAACAAATGTCAGGAGCACACATCCATTTCATCAGAGGAGACTACGATAACAGCTGCTGTAGGCTCCTCAGTGCTGGAGGAGCTCGACTCCTGCCTAGGAGAGGCGTTGCTAAGATGATGAGCAGCCGGAACTGATTCTGGTTGTGTTTGATAAATCCGTTGCTCCACTGCACCAGATGCCAAGGTTACATATGACGCGGCTCCATTGATCTGGCCGTACAAGGATGAGATGGGCTCCACGACAACCAAATGGTCAAAGTTCTCGTGCAACCAGGCACGATAGTCGACGAGTTCATCGTTTATCTGAATAATGCAACCTGTGCTTAAGAAAATGCGAAATAAATATTAGAATCAATCGACTTGCAGATACCCAGAACCTAATCTCAACCTTGATCTGCATTGGGCATGCGAAATATTATATATTATATATGGATCGACTAAGCTCTTGACGCGAATCAGGTAGAAAAAAATAGTTTATGATATGGAAGATGCCTCACAAACATTTACTCAACTGCAGTATAGCACTCATTACCAAAAAGACCGACTTACCCAAAATGGAAGAGGAGGTGGCCGTGTGACGCAGTTGGCACTCGCCTGGCGGATTGACTGCCTGACTGAGGACACGATAGGCCCATTGGAAGGCCTGCCTGACGCTAACAATGGCAAAGCTGGAGCGGGCCACATCGTTGCCATTCTGCAGCGAATCATCGATGGACAAGGCCGATGGCCTGGAGTCGATGAACGTGTTTTCCTTTCGCTTATAGCAGCCGCCATCTCCTATGGAAATAGCAATTTGTGCGTAATTAAAGCGTATACCGTACAGCTCAAAGAACTCCAAGAGCAGAACGCCCAGATTTGCCTGTGCATGGAAATTGTCACGCGGATGCAATTGCAGAAAGCTGATGCACATGAGTAACAGTGAATAGGATGAGATGCCGCCGCTGAATGCCTCGTTGAGCTTGCGCTGCAGCATGAACTGTTTCAGCACCAGGACCAGTTTGCCCAGGCCTGGATAATCGCGCAAATAGGTTTTGATCAGTTCCGCGGAATGAATGCCGTCGGATATATTAAATGACACATCGAGCTTAATCTGCGTTTTACTGTCCGTGAACTTTATTATCGGCACCAAAGCCGTGTCCACCACATGCATCGTGCCAGCCTTCACAATGTCACGCCTCAAGAGCTCCAATTCGAGGGAGCGCAATGGCAGCTTCTCCCAACGACCTGCCATATGTGGAATGAAGTAGAGTCAAAAGTGTTTGGCGCTACTCACCCAGCACGACGAGATCAATGTCCGAGTTGGGCAGAAAGAGGCCAGTGCGAAAGGAGCCAAAGATCTCCACCAGCGCTTGCGGCCAGAGCTCGTGTATGATGCTCTCAATTCGTTTCACCAACTCGATGCGCACGGCATGCTCAGTGGGTGTCGGCAGTATATATCTATAGAAATGTTCGATCTCCTCGTGTAGTCCGATAATGCCGTCGCCGTAATTATAGTTCGCCTGTTGCCAGGGACAGCCACCAAATTTGCGTGTTGCTTGCATTTCGCTTCCAATTGTGATGAAATTAATTCGAAAAAACGATTAACAGCTGTTTGCTGCGTTGCCACCTGGGACGGCAAAACATATGTGAACATAAGCGAATCGATCGTGTCACGTTTAATCACGAGCATGCACGAATATTCACTGTCATTTTGCTTGCACAGCTATTGGCATACATACATATATGCAAATATACGTGATCAGCATTAACTCTTATCTCGACTATTCATACATACATATGTAATTTGTGTAATGACTAGATTTATCCAACATACGAAGTAAATTTATTCGTCCAATGACACGTCACTTACACACATATGTATGTATGTATGTGTGTACGTTGATGTGCCGACTGCAGACAGTTGCTTTGTATATCCACTGCGTAACACTTTTGATCCCTTTAACTGTTAGTTGTAGTTGTATTAGTGTGAATGCTTGCTTGGTGTACGTGCGAACGTAATGAATAGATTAGTCTGTCATCTCATTTGATCGTCTTATTTAGTGCGCGTGTGTTTCAAATCGATCAAATTGAACAGATTAAATTATTATTGTGTTAAACGTGTTAACGTATTGCCCGTTGGTCTAAGAGTCGACGTAATTGTTGGTGCATAACTTTTCGCACTTTTGGCGCAAAATCATCTTAACATAACATAGCACATAAAGCGAGAGGGAGATGGAGAAAAAGCTCAGGAGCATGGGAGAGTGCAAGTGCTAAGAAGCTATTCTTAAACCGTTCGCTAATTTATACACTTGCCGAAGATATGATCCTTTTGTCATGAAATTTGTAACGCATAGAAAGAAGAAAATGAAATACATAAAAATATTGAGCAGAAGCAAATTAAATTGCGATTAAAGATTATCTTTTAGTTCATAATTCCCCTCTTTTACTATATATAAAAAAATTATATAGAGTATTATTACATTTATTATTTTATTATTTATTATTTAAATGTGTGCTTGTGTGTTTCGTATGCTAAATTATTTATTAATTTCGAATCTTGCAACGTGCCTTATTTGCCTTTGTTTTATACAAAGTACAAATTTTACAGTAAAACTTAAAAATATTAAAGCTTCTTCGCTGGCGTTTTAAAAAATATTTAAACAGATGACAGCCGAACTGGAGTCATACTCTAATTTCTGCTAACACATTGTCATTAAAATGCCAATCAATTATTAAAACTCCGCTTGAATAAACATTTAGCGCGTAATTATGATAATTGCTGTAAATTGCATGTCAAAAAATACAGCAAAAAAAAGGGGAAAAAAAAAAACAAAAAACAACAACAGCAGCAGCAGGAAGCCCAAAAGGTAGGAACATAAAAAATTTACCCGCTATTGTCTCAGACACGCGACAGGGTGGCTCTAGGGATTTTGCATACAAAACAACGCCCACGCCACGCCCAGCTATACAGTTACGCCCCCCGCTAAAACACACATGGGAATAAACGGCTGAGACTTGGATTTGAACACCAAAACTTATTACAGACTCTGACGTTCGAAATTACTTAATCAAAGTTGGATTATCTGCAATGCAGCCCCTCAGTCCCAGCAAGCAGTAAACATTGGGCAAGCAATTGGAATTTGGAATATGCTCGGGCTTGGGGTTCTGGTCCCGGTCCTTGTACGGCTTTCATTTGAATTAAAAGCGCCAGCAAGTTTGACAGATTTCTGCAACAGCATGGGGCATTTGGCACACATAGAAAGCAGCTGGCAAAAAAAAAAAAAAAAAAAAAAAACCCGTGCTACTCGAAAAGTATGGCTGGCTCAGCTGAACTAAATTAAATTCCATGTCTAATGCTCGCACAAGGATTAGGCCAAACAACGCCTCATCGCTTCATCGCCTCAGATGGGTAATATTAAATAATTTTTCCGTCGGCTTCACCGGCTCAAACAAGCACATACACACACAGGACTCGCAGGACACATATGCCATGAATTCGTTCATTGTTTTGCATCGAGTCGAGTGCCCAGCAGCTTCAGCTTCGGCAGGAGCAGGAGCAGCAGCAGCAGCTCTTGTAGCCACAGATTAAAGTCTCCCGTGGCGAACTTAATATAAAAGCGCAGGACAAGCCCCGGCCAGGACGACGGCAAAAGAGTATTTAGGTAGGTGGAGCGCTCAGCGCAAATCTTTTTTCGAGTGCGAGACATTAGCAGCATTAGAACAACAACAGCAACAACAACAACAACAACAACAACAACGAGAGGCATATAGTTTGGAACAGGACTTACTTATAGCACACTGCAGCCACTCCCCAAATGCGCAAAGAAAACAAAAAAATATTGGATGGGCAGAGCAAAGAGCGCCAAATAATCAAAGGACTTAAGTCGGCTCAGCCGTATAAAAGCGCCGCAGATTTTTGGTCCACAACGCGGACATATGGCAAAAAAAGCTCTGCAGCGTTGCGGGCTGCGGCGGCGCCAGTTGCTGCATTAACAGTTATAAATTTACAGCGTTGCCGTAGTGTCAAGTGAGGTTGATGAAAATTAAATAAGCTTTCAGATCTTTATACAATATAAGAACTGAATTTTCCGGTTGCATCTATATGATATAGTGGCCCGATTCGGTTCCGTCATATATAATGCCACGGAAAGAATTATGCTCCGAATTTTCTTTAATCCAAAAGAATTTTGAATTTTGCAAAAAATATCAATAATAATAGAATATATATATGCATTTGATGTTGGAAGAAGCTTCCCTAGGCGGGAACTCCCGACTAGAACCTCTTGTTTATATTGCTGATTGACTTTTATTTATGATCTTTTAAGGTAAAAATAAATTTCTCAAAAAATCAAGACCTCACATCTTGATGGAATTGATCGTATCTCTTAAGCTGGGCTTGCTATTAAGTAATATATATATTTAGGATAGGCAGCAAAATGTTTTATATAGAGATCGTAAGTGTGTTTCTCTCATTATGGTACTCGGGCATACTTTTGGTTAGAAGCAATGCAATGTCTCTTAGTACCTGATGTTGACTGGGAAGAACATTTACAGCTAATACTGGTAGTTTGAGAGTTATTGGTAGAGCCCATATCTGAAACAGACTCTATTCGCTGAAGCCCTTGAACCAGTAGGAGGCAATTAAAATAAGCCATTGTAGGATACTGAAATGCAGATTATACGATAAGCCCCATATGCCCGTACTCTGTATATCGATTCCGAGACAACTCAAGATGCATTTGAAGAAACAACTGGACATTAGGATCATCAGCGGCACAATACGCCAAAATTTCGAGGATCGACCTCCTCGCACGATAATAAACGGCGGCAGATTCTGTTCCCATTGAATTTGATTATTTTGTGGCCCATCGCCGGCACCAATTAGCGAACTTTGCGGTTGCACTTGCAGTGGGTGGGCTAATCCCATCTGTTGCATTATATCAATATCGGGCACTAGAACTCTGGGCTGTATTTCATTTCTGTTTTCTGCAGCTGGTTGGTCGTGCAATTCGGCGGTCTGTGGAAAAAATACATCCAAAATATGCTCATTGGGCAATTCCATTATGTTGTCTAATTTCTTTAATAATTTCTACTAAAAAATTTATGACTTGCATTGGATACGTTTTTCACTAAAATTGACAAATTTGACATTAAAAACTTTGTAAAAAAACATATTCAAGCACTTGCTCAGATTTAGTGGGAATTACAAAAAAATTAAAAAAATATATATAATTACTGATTATTATTGGCGAGAGTTAATAAAAGCTTTAAAAAGATAATACAAGCTAATTTAAGGGGATGCATTACAAAAAAAATCTTGAAAAAAATTAATCCATAAATAGTTACTATTTATAATAAAATATATTTAAATACAGTAAAAGCTTAATAAGCAAATGTGACTGCTATTAATATACGAAAAAAAAAAAACGTATTTATATTATAAATATTTAAGGAAACTATGAAATTGCAAAAGCAAAAAAGAGGTTTTGCCGGGTTTTTGAATGCGTTCACAATAAATGGTTTTTATTTAATTCCTGCTACTACAATTAGCGAATATGAATTCCGATTGCATTTATTCATTATGTGTACACATAGAATGTTGTTGCTTTTGTTTTATTATATTTTTTGTTGTTTTTTTTTTTTTTATATATGTTTTTTTATTTTAATGAGTTGCAACAACAAAGCCACATTTTTAATGAAGCAAAAAAAAAACGGCAATTACTCACGTTTTACAACACTATCGCGAATGTTGCTGCTGCTGTCGATAATGATGTTGATGATGCTGATGATGTTGCTAATGATGTTGATGACATGCGAGTCTGAGTGGCATGTAGCATGTGGCATGGCAGTCAGAATTGTGCTGGAAATCGCTTAAATGCAAAACTCATTAAAATAATTGCAAAATGCAAAAATATAACAAACTCGTTTGACGCCTGGTTTGGGTTGTAGTTGGCAGGGGTTGGTTGAGCACAGAACGCACACTCATTAAACCAACCATAAATAATTAACAAAACAATTTATTTTCAAGGATATATGTGCATGATGGCCGGCCCCTCCTCCTCCCTCCCGCACCGCCAGTCTATAATTGCGCCGTATTATCCGTAGCGCCGGAGAGAATGCATTTTATGCGCTCTATGCAAACTTCAAAGCTCATTTATGCGAGCGTCTGCTGCTGCTGCTGCTGGCCAAAGATGAAAAGCCACACACACAAAAACACACACACACACACACGTACATGAAGATCTGTGCACAATCTGGCAAGCAAACAGCCGTTTAAAAGTCAACAAACAGACGGCAACGCCAACGCCAACGCCGCCGCCGCCAGTGTTGCCCACTGATGCGCGATATCTGAAAACACTTAAGCAACACACACATTCACACACGCACATGACGTATACGCAACGTGGTACGTGGAACATGCTGGTCGCCAGCTCTGTGTGTAGTTTGCGAGTCATTAAAAGTAAATAACCTCAAAGCAAGCGGCACTCTCTCTCTCTCTCTTGCTCAGGCACTTGAACCACGGCTGCTGGCTAAAAGAAATGTTCCGCTTTGAGTCCAACCGTCTCAGCCCCTGCCTGGGGCTAACCTGTCATCCAGGGCCATGTCCAGTGCTC